CAGCAAGCATAACTGGATGTCTGCATGACTAGAACCATGGGCCACATGACAATTTTGAGTAAAGTGGCATTTGTGGCTAGAGCTGCTTATCTCGTTTTGTGAGGAAGGCAATACTCCAGGTGGGGTGTCACCTAAGCAGAGTAGAGGGGTGGAATCACCTGTCTTGACCTGCTGGACATGTTTCTCTAGATGCTACCTAGAATATGGTTGGCCTTCTGGGCTGCTTGTGCTTACTGCTGGCTCATGTTTAGTCTCTCATCAATTGACACTCCCAAATCATTTTCCTCAGGGCTGCTCTCAAGCCATTCTCCACCCAACCTGTATCTGTGCTTGGGATTTCTCTGACCCAGAAACAGGGCCTTGCACTTGGCCTTGTTGAACTTCATGAGGTTGGCATGGACCCACCTCTCAAGCCTGTCCAGGTCCCTATAGATGCCTTCCCTTTCCTCTAGCATGTCAACTGCATCACTCAGCTTCATGTCATCTGCAAATTTGCTGAGGGGGCACTTGATCCCACTATCTGTGTCACCTACAAAGATATTAACACTTATCCCAATAATGATCCCTGAGGAATGCCATTTGTTATTAGTCTCTACTTGGATGCTGACTGCAGCCTGTGGGAATACTAGAAAGAATACTCAGAGTAGAAGCTGTGGAGAAGAATAAACTGCATGAGAAAGCAAGGCTGAGAACCAGGGAAGGCTCCAGGAGAGAAAAAGCAAAAGCCAAGTTAGCTGTGTGATGGCTGCATGATAACCCTGATTGGAGGAAGAGAGCGTGACTAAGAATGACTCATGACCCTGGTTGGATAAGCACCTGCATGTACAGTTAAGGAGTGTTTGTGGAATGTTTTGTTGACGTGTAAAGGTGGGTGGGAAAGTTACAAGAGAAAACTTGTGAATGTATATGAGGGATGTTAGAACCTGCAATAAACCATTTGGTCATTCACATCTGAGTTGGTGACTCAGATGCTGCAAATGGTGCCCACTGCGTGGGGCAGATCAAGATGAGGCTGAGCGAGCCTGGTCTAGCAGTGCCGCCTGACAACTACTGAGAGATTGTTTTGTGCGCGCCTGCACCGTTCTGCAGGAGAGAAGGTGAGCAGTTGGGAACTATGGGGAGTTCACTAATGAAAGAGCAGCAAGTAAATCTTCAAGTTCTACAGAGAATTTTAAAGTTTCAGGATCAGCCTGTATCTACCCCAGCATTAGTACTTTTCTTGATTGGATAAGAAAATATGTCCCTGAGTTTTTGAGGACTGGGTTTTCTTTTGATGGGGTGGTTTGGGACAAAATTGGCACAAAACTCTGGGAGGCTTCTATTACTGCATGCAAAATGGCTGCTAAGGATTTACCTGTTTGGCGTTAAACATCGGAAGGGCTCAAATCCGAAAAGAAAAACACAAACTCTCTCGACCATTCCCCACTGCCTTCCCCCTGTCCCCGTCCCCCACTGCTGCCCCTTGGTGTGGAAAGCAGCTCCTGCCTGGACCTGATCCATGACTCCAACCTCACCCCTGGGTGGGGAAGAAGAAAATGGCAGCCCCTGGAGAGTGCGGCTGCTGCTGCGAGGTGCCTGTGGCCACAGTCCACTCCAGACTGTCCCTATCCCACAGCCCCCCCCCCCCTGCTCTCCCATTGTTGCTCATCATTCTGCTGCTGTCCTCTGCACCCCCCTCTCCCCCCATCACTTGCCACTCCGCTTCTGCCTCCAGCATGTAATTTGGTTAAAAAGAAGGATGAACCAGAGAATCTTTTTGATATGGGTCTAGTAGATCCAGGGGACAAACCAAAGTTTTCCCCTCCTGATGATAATTTGAAGGGGACAGGAAGGAAAAAAATTGTCTCTTCTACAGTGTACTATGGTTTTTTAGAGCAATGCAAAAAAGAAGTAATATCACGGGGTTATGCTGATATGTTGCAAGCCTTTCACGTGATGTATTGTGCAAATTAGCCCCCTTGGTGGGAAATCCCTGCCTTATGAGGCGGTCAAGGAGCTAAGGAACTCGGTGAAAGAATATGGAATTCAGTCTGCCTTTATGTATAATCTTTTGGTTGCAATCAGTAAAACTATGTTATGACCCCTCATGATTGGAAAATTCTGTTATGAATGATTCTGTTTCCCATGTGATATACGGTGCTTATGACTGAATACCGAGAACAGGCTACCATCTAGACAATGGATAATTTGGCTAACTTAAATCATATTGGAATGGAGGAGCTTGGAGCTTGTGGGGAAAGGGGCTTGGACAAGACCTCAAGACCAGGCACAGATGGATAGGCAATGCTTTGAAAATAGTTAAAAAAAAAAAAAAAAAAAAAGCCAATTGACAGTGGCAAATGCATTAAAACCAGTATGAAAAGCTAGACCTCATGTCCTTATTTATCTTTACATGGATGATATATTAATATCATCAGAATGAGAGTCTAAAGGATGCTATACTGCTTGTCCAGCAGGCAGTCCAATCTGACAATTTACAAATAACTGAAAAAAAGGTGCAACTCAGTTCTCCATGGAAATATTTAGGATAGAAAATCACATATCACACCATTCAGCCACAAATCCTCAAAATAGTACCTAATGTGCAGACATTAAATGATCTGCAAAAATTATTAGGAACCATCAACTGGTTGTAACTGCTTTTGGGTATTACTACTCAAGAGCTACGCACTCTATTCTAGCTACTCAAAGGAGACCCAGATCTAAAAGGCAACTAGCACCAAAAGCACTACAATGCTTAGATTCTGTAATAACATCATTGTAACATTGATATAGCCATCGTGTTTGTTTATCACTTCCAGTATCTCTAATAATGATATCAAGCTCCTATTGACCGTATAGTTTGTGATGTCAGTGGGATACCTCAAGAAAAGATCCTCTCGTCATCCTCAAATGGACGTTCTTACCACATACATTCTCAAAAACCATTACATTGTGAGTGGAGATGTTTGCAATGCTAATATAGTGAGATCGACATTGTCTACAAATTTTACCAACTTTTGATCCTGATTGCATCTACGTACCTGCTACTAAAAGAGATTTAGATTGGGTGCTTGCACATTTACTTGCTTTACAAACTGCTACAGCAGGCTGTACCGGACAAATCTCCATTCATCCCCCCAAACATCAGTTATTATTCCCTGGCTCTTCTCTGTCACTCAGTGGTGCATCCCCTTCCCCCAGCAGCTCTAGTTTAAAGCCCTTGCAATGAGCCCAGCTCCCTTGCTACCTAGTATATTCTTGCCCCTAAATTTCCCCTCGTTCATTTTAAAGCCTTGTCCTGTCACTGTCTAACTGTGTAAAATGTTTATTTCCTTCCTTTTTATAATCTCCCTTTAAATGTTTGAAGGCTGTAATGAGGTCTCCCCAGAGCCTTCTCTTCTCCAGACTGAACACGCTCAGTTCCTTCAGCCTGTCTTCATAGGAGAGATGCTCTAGCCCTCTGATCATCTTGGTGGCCCTCCTCTGGACTCTCCAAAAGCTCCACATCTTTCTCGTGCTGCAGGCCCCAGACCTGGACTCAGTACTCCAGATGGGGCATCACAAGGGCAGAATAGAGAGGGACAATCCCCTCCCTTGCCCTGCTGGCCACCCCTCTTCTGATGGAACCCAGGATACCTACCATTGGCCTTTTGGGCTGCAAGCGCACATTGCTGGCTCACGTTAAGTCTTTCATCTACCAAGACCCCTAAGTCCTTCTTGCAGGGCTACTCTCAAGGAATTCTTCACCCAGTCTGTATACATACCTAGTATTGCCCCGACCCAAGTGTAACAGCTTTCGCTTTGCTTTGTTGAACCTCGTTAGGTTTACATGGGCCTATCTTTCAAGTTTATCAAGGCCCCTTTGGATAGCATCCCTTCCTTCTGCCATATCAACTGCACCACTCAGGATCTATATTGGCAAATCTCATTGTACCATGTTAGCCTGACAAAACACCTCTGTGGTACATGTGTGTGCCTATGGAAAAGGTATCATTAAGGTTGGAAAAGACCACTAAGATCAAGTCCAACCATCAACCATCGTATGGGTGTGCACTTCCTACAGGTCCAGTCTGGGTTATTCTTTGTGTGACAGTGGCAGAAACATTTCATGAAAACTAATTTCTCCTTTATCTGTTCTACAGATTAGTGCATGCATGACTTTATATAAAGCACAGCAGTTTATTGTATATGTACAGTGATGTCCCACTTCGCCATGAGCTTCACCTCTTTTACTGGTAGAAGGATCACCACAAAACCCCTCTGATTTAACGTTCAGCAAGCACCTTATGCTCCACACAGTGCCAAAGGACACAGATGGGCCCACCCCAGCCCCAATGGTCTCCATTTGACTGAGCAAGGTAGTGTCTGCAACCACCAGAGACCTTTGGGCCTACAGACTGCCTGGCAGGGATGGCTGCCCACCCAGCTTCATCAAAACAGGTGGCAGTCTCCCATGGCACAAAGGCATATGTGGTGCCTTTTGCCCATAAATACTATGCTGAAGTAATTAGTCAAATTTCAGGTCCTCCATGTTACCCCTACACCACCTCTCCGTGTCTCACCTCCTTGTGTTCCTGGTATGGGGCAGGAGGCAGCAGGAGCTCCCAGAAATGGAATAGGTCTGAGGACAGGTGGCGATACCCCCAACAGTGGGTGGGTGGACTGGGGGAACTGAGCCCCCACATACAAATGAGCCTTATGTTAATACCTCAAGACACGTCCCAGTGCCATGTTGTGGGGCTGCGCCTCAGGCCAGGGGTGGCCACCACAGGTGGCATACATACACATGGACATGGGCACAAAGATTTATGCACAGAGTATTTTATTTTGATATTTCAGGCTGAGCTGTGAGCACCACAGCTCCACATTGCAGGGGCTCAGAGAGGATGTGTGCCCTCATACATACAGTTTGGGTTCTGTAGTGCTGTGTGGTATTGAACTCTGTAATCACAATGCATTCCCCAACCCAGATTCTCACGAGAGCTGCCGCCCTCCCCGCCCACATCCGGCCCTGCTATTCGTCTTCCACTGCCGTCCTGAGGGGAGCAGCCATAGCAGTTCGGGGGTTGCTGTAATCTGGCTCCATCTGGCTCCATCCTGCTCTGGGGTGCTGCAGGGCAGTTGTGAGAGGTACAGTGTCGGTTACTCTCCCTTGATACTGGTGGGGGGTGATGGGCAGGGCCAGCGATGGTAGAGCTAGGAGAGGCTGTAGGGCAGCACTAGGCTGTGGCTGCAGTGTTTACTATCTTATGACACTTTTGGATTTAGCTGTGAAAAGAAATGAAGTCTTTGAGTGACCTTTGGGGTTGATTGTCTGCTCTGGGATAAATAATCTGCGTTCTGCCCTTCTGTATCAGGAGCTTAATGCGATTTTTCTCATTGTTTTTCTACAGCTGAGCTCCAAGGATGGTGCGCTACTCACTGGATCCAGAGAACCCCACCAAGTGTGAGTGCTGTGCCATGCATGTCCATGTAGGACTGCGTGGGGTGGCTGAGAGATTTTGTTTCATACATTTTTGTTTTTTCTCACTGCAGCATGCAAGTCCAGGGGCTCCAACCTGCGTGTGCACTTCAAGGTATGCGATGTGGGCATGGAACCAAATGTATTTTTTGAAGGAAGTGTCCCTTATTCTCCTGTGTTATTGCGGAGTTGTTGAAGAACGGTGGTGTAGGTTGTGCCCTGTGTGTAACTTGCACATTAAATGTTGTATTATGCAAGTGAAAAGAGGCCTTGTTTATTATGATTTGGCTTCCTATTGCAATAGTGTGTTAAATGCAAAAATCAAGATATCAGCGCTTCAGTTACTCTTTATTCTTGTTTTTTCTTTTGACCCTTTTTCTTTCTTCCCTTTCTATTTTCCTTACATAAGCATTACATTTTGTAACTTGTTCATATAGCTTGTGTTCTTCATGCTCTCTGTGAGGTTCCATATCAGACATTTAAACAGGAATTTCATAGAAATTCATAGGAATTTCAATCATACAATGGTTTGGGTTGGAAGGGACCTCAAAGATCATTTATCACTCAGGCTCCAGCTTTCTGGATTAGGGGCCAAAGACAGAGCTATGATAAATATAAAGACTCAAATTTGCTGGTTGGAAAGCTGTAGCCATTGGGTAAAATACAATGAAAGCATGGCAGAGCTGCAAGCTCAGTAATAGGGGTCACACTAAGTATTGTTAAAATAGATAACAAAAAAAGTATTGTTAATTTATTTTCCTTTTTTTTTTTTTTTTGTAGGTGTTGGTTTATTTGTTTTGTTGTGTATTGTTTGTTTTGTTTGATGAGTGCTTCTTTTGAACTGAGTTTATAGCAAAAAGGCTTGTTGAGGAAAGGTGGTTGCTCCAGGAAAGAGGGACAAGTGGTTTTGATTCATTTTAGTTGGAAGGGATCTTAAAGCTAACTCCCTGTAATGAACAGGGACACCTACAGCTCAATTAGGGTACTCAGAGCTCTGTCCAGCCTGACCTTGAGTGTCTCCAGGGATGAGGCATCCACCACCTCTCTGGGTAACCTGTGCCAGTGCCTCACCACCCTTATTGTAAAGAAATTTTTTCTTATATCCAACCGAAATCTTCCGTTTTAGTTTAAAACAATTTCCCTTGGTCTTGTCACAACTCCCATTGTAACGTGGGAAGAAGTATTAAGAGGAATTTTCACTGTGCATTTTAGAACACTCGTGAGACTGCCCA